ACATAAACAGTAACATGATCATATATGAGTTGATTAAATCACTAGGCCATGACACTTACTTATCTTCAACTCTGACTTGGGCTCCTGAGTTCTCACTGTGGCCTTGGTTCTCTTGGTGGCCCTTGATAAGGAAGTTTTGGCCTCAGTTTCTTAATCTTAAAGATTAGAAAGCATCTGGTGTTTTCTTCTGACTTTATGTATGATTTGAACCCCAGAGGCACATATTTCTCCTGTATCTTCCTGGGGAGTAATGGGCATTCAGCACAAGATGCTTTATTTAATGCTAAAAAAAAATTCAGAAGTTGCAAATGAGATGTGTTGGGTAAAACATAATTTGTAAAATATGTGGAAGCCTAGAAGTGTTTTTATTAAATTATTATTTTATTACTGGATTTTCCATGTGGGGAAATGTCAACATTTTGCTGTGCTGAGATTTCTTTTGCTTACTCAGGGATCATATCCATGTTGTGTAAGTTGACCCAAACATGACTGTATAAATGTCTATTGTCGTTTTTAACCCTGCAAAACTCTCAGCCAGGAGCTGGAGAAGAAAAATGTGTTAAAGGCTTCAGTTCCAGAACTGTTAAATTCTCTAACAAGTTTGGCATATTCTCTTTTTATTTGAATTTTCTCCTATGTGTCTCTGCCCTTGTGTCGGTCCCTTATGTCCCACATCAGGAGCTCCAAGCTGCAATAAATGTCTATTGTCGTTTTTAACCCTGCAAAACTCTCAGCCAGGAGCTGGAGAAGAAAAATGTGTTAAAGGCTTCAGTTCCAGAACTGTTAAATTCTCTAACAAGTTTGGCATATTCTCTTTTTATTTGAATTTTCTCCTATGTGTCTCTGCCCTTGTGTCGGTCCCTTATGTCCCACATCAGGAGCTCCAAGCTGCAGAGCTGAGACCCTTCTTTCTCTTCTTTCCCTGGTTGCATTATAAATAAAACCCTGTTATGATAACACTTGGAATAAAATGATAAGACATCAGTACAGATTACCCTAAAAATCATGTTATGTGAGTGGAAATAAAACAGCTTATGGTATATGCCAGGCATGATGCAAATGATATTAAATAAATATATGACTGAAGGGTTCCATTCATTCCAAATGCTCCCCTTTGTGATCTTTAGCCATGTTTGCAGAGAAACCTTTCTTAAAGCACTTAAAGCTTAATTCAGAACAGACAAAACAATTATCTTTTGAAAGTCTGATGAAATATGTTTGGCAGCTTTTGAATTTAGGAGAGTGTTTGTCTCACTTCTTTGAAATCTCCCTTCAGTCGCTCGCTCAGCCGTTTCGGTGGAGTCGTTCAAATCTGGTAGTGAGTGTGGGCTTTGCTGAGTTTAAAAATGGTCTAATCACAAAGTGTAGGGGCTGGAAATAGTGTGTCATGCCCCCAAACTGACATTTGCCTTACTGATGTGCTTTGAATATCAGTCTACCTGCTGTCCCTGTGTTTTTGATGAGGTGCTGGTTGATAGCTCTCTCCATGTGGGTAGAGGTTTGCTCCTCCCAACACAGGTCCAAAGACTCTTAAGCATTAAATTATCTTATTTTATCTAATTTAATTTGTTAGGGGACAGGAGTGTCACTTTATCTTCTCTAAGTATAAATGATGAATGTTCAAGCACCAATGTGTGACTGTTTCTTATGGGAAGAGAAGGAAGAAAACTGACACTGCACAGTGTAGTTTTATAGTTGAACTATGTCATGAACACAGAGCAGAAATATTTAAATTGTGGCTCTGATTGCCAGTTCACTGAGCACATGGAATAGTTTGCTCGGCTTATATTAAGGCAGGAAAGTTGTCACTACACTGCAGCAACAAATATTATACAAGTATGAAGGGCATTTGGGAGAAATGCATATTTTCACTTTATATTTTTTTGTAATATTTGATTAAAATCCGTTTCTTTTTCATATATGTATATGCAGGACTTTGTGAATTTCTCTTTGTGAATATATATTAAAATCCCTAAGTTATTCCTAATGTTCTGTAGTGCTGCCTGCTCCTGACAAACATCTGATAAGGATCATATGCCTCTAAAAAAGAGAAGTTCCTCGAGCAAAATATCCTCATGAAAACAGGTTGGAGATACTCACATTCTCTCGCTCGCTCTCACTCGCATGTTACATTTTGGCACGTTGTAGAAGCAGGTAGCATATCTACTACCTGCTGTTGAAAGTGTTGAAGATACTGAATTATTTATTCCATCTTCTGCACTATCCAAACTCGTTTTGGGTAGTTTGACACATCTCGGTCTTCCATATGGATACTTCATGGTGACAGAGTTGCCAGCTGCTCAGGTTTTATGACAGTCTGAGCTTTTTCGAGGACTGTATTAGTTTTCTGGGAGGAATCCTGCTTTTCCTGAGGTCCTCATTCCTAGGCAGTAGTTACACCTTAGGCTGATGCTCTGGAGTGGGAGTTTTTTGGGAAAATTAGCTGAGAGCTTCCATAAAAATATTTTGTAAAAGACTTGCTGTTCATAGATTGTGTGAGATGAAATCAGAGCTGTGGGGTATTAGAAAAATGTGAAAGCCATTTGCTAAGAAAGCTAAGTTCCTTTTAGTGACAGTCTTCAAATTTCTAAAAAAAAAGAAAAAAAAGTGTTTAGAGATCAAGGTGCCTAAAGCAACATAAAAACCAGTCTGAAATACTTTGGAGAACAAGATTTTCAGGGCACTTGAAGTGTAACACTAAACAGTCTGCAAAGCTTCCCCATGACAGGGGATTGGAGTTAGATGGTATTTAAGGTCCCTTCTAACCCAAACTCTACCATGATTTTCTCTGCAATTGTGCAAAGTGAATGGATCTGCTGTTGTTTTAAGATACTGAATGTGTAAACCTGAAAACCATGAGAAGGTTCTGAGTTTTCAGTTTGCCAAAACTTGTTAAACTAATGGAAAATCAGCCACTGTTTCACTTCATTTTGAACATCTCTTGTAAACCTTTGTCAGGGAAGCTCAGTGTTTTGGTGGGTCTGTGCTGCACTGAGTTTCATTCTCTTTCAGTTAGATATCTCTCTGTTGCAGTGAGATTCATATATCCATGATGTTGACAGTTCTGTCATCTTGGATCCAAACTGACACCAGGTGATGTGAATTAAAGATCCTCAAAGTTTGGTGTTCAGATTTGCTATTAAATAGTAGTGTTGTGTAGCCTTAGGACTTCTCCAAAGTTGCTACAACCTCTTGGCCGTGTTGCATCGTTCATTCCAGTCATTTGACAGGTTTGTCCATAGGTAAAATACCTAATGCAATGAATTTGCAGCCTTTAAACCAATAAATAGTGCTATTTTAATGCTACTTAAGTAAAACATCAATTTTGCAAGTATTTTTCCTTAAAAACATCTCTTCACTTTACATCACTATTTCCTATATATTTACATTTGGAGAATTTGTGCCTTCAGTCATTATGTCCTTTAGTTTTTGTTGTATTTTACTTTTTCCTTGTTCCATCACATCATCTTTTTCATCAGAGCTAGTCTGTCCATCTTATATAAACCATCCACCAATGGCTACTTTTCACTGCTGGATTATCCTGATTTGTTTATGCTCTGCCCTAATAAAATTCCTTTGCTTCATTATTTAATGCTGATGAAATTTGAGTGAGGAAGATGATGTGGATTCTTGGCTTTCTTCTTCCCCCCATCACCACAGCTCTAACTGCTTGGGCTCGACCTCTCCCTTCGTGGGAACAGAGAGGCCAATGTAGCCCATGGTGAACAATCTGGCCACTAAAGTAAAAATGTGCATCTGTCAGTAATTAATTGAAGCCAAATTTAATTACAAATCAGGGAAAAAATAGTGCCACACACTTAATAAAATTCAAGAAGCTTCAGTGTTGTTGCCCAAAAAGCAAAGCAATGCAAACAAAATACATCCCCCTCAAAAGTCTGATCTGGGAGAGTCTCTTTCAAGCTTATTTGATGATGTTAAATAGAAAATTAGTTTTGATTAACTGTTTTCACATCCTTTTTGATTTATTTTTAGGTAAAGGTCAATGAAAATAGTGGCCAGTGTTTAAGGCTGATTGCTAACCAGTTGTGTTGGCTGAGGATCTGGCCCAAAATTTAATTTAAGATTTAATTGTATGTACATATTCTGATAGCTGGTTGAGATAAAGAATCAGAGGGATAAGAAGGGATAGAGAAAGAACCCAAATAATTGACAAATAAAGACATTTATTTCACCTCTTGAATGCTTTATGGTGTATTTTTAAATAGAAAAATACATATAAAAAAAGGATTGGCAGTATGAATCCAAACCAAGCTCTTCCTTCCTACTGCATTTTAGCATCCAAATCCAAAACTATCGAACTGGTAGCAGCCATGAATATTTATTACTGTGTGCTATATGTACATACAGCAATTACAGCAAGAGGAAAAAAATATTTTCCTTTACAATTAATATTTGTAAACGTTTATGAAAGTACATAGAAATAAATAAGACAAACACATGGCCTAATTAAGATGAAAGGCATGACAAGCCTTGTGATTTGTTCTGAAAAATAAAGAATGTTAAAATAGTAAGACTTAATTATTTCTGTAAACATTTCAAATTATGCTCTATCTAGAAAACCTTAATTTATGAGTTATAATATCTATAAGCATTTTTGACATTTGTACATTCCATGTCAAAAATTATTGTTAATTTATTATTTATTGCACAGTATTCTGTTGCATATTATCACTTATTAGTATTTATTGTTCAGAAATTCACTGTCATCTATTGTGTAATGGGAAAGGGAAAAGCTTTTTATATGTGATTGTAATTTGTGTATTCTTGGGCTAGTGATAAAAAAGCAACTTCTGCAAGTTAGTGATATAAAAATGTGTGTAGTAATAAACAAAAATAACTGGTCTGTTTAGCATTCCAGGCATTAACAATGCTATTTGGAATACAGTTTACATTTGAAAGATAACTTAAAGCCAAATCCATGGACTTGTCTATTTGCTGGGTGCAAATCAAGGAAATTGTATGGTGGAGAAACCAAAGCCATGGGGTTTGATCTTGAGGAGCTTGAAGACACCATCATCTTTGAAGCCCTTTTTTCTCCAGGTGGATATGTTTATGGTAAAACTCTTGGCTTTGCCAATGACCTTTAAGTAGGCAACATTCATTACTGCTTATCCCAATCCTAAATTTCACTGCAGAGGGTTATCATAGAATGATTTGGGTTGGAAGGGGCCTGAAAGATCATCTTGTTCCAGACTCCTGCCGTAGGCAGGGACACCTTCCACTAGTCCAGGTTGCTCCAAGCCCCATCTAACCTGGCCTGGAACACTTCCAGGGATGGGGCAGCCACAGTTTCTCTGGGCAACCTATGCCAGTGCCTTACTGGTTCTGTCAGTGCCATCTAATGAACTGTGACTTTTTTTTTGTACCCATTTCCCCATAAACTCTCATATTTGTGGTGATATCCAAATCTAATCCTAATCTATCTCAGTTATATTGTAGTGCTGTAGGATGAAGAATGCTCGTACCTCTTTTCTGGGCTGCCAGATCTGCAATCATACGCTCAGTTTGCTATGAATGTAGTTTTTTTGTTGCAGATAGTTATGGTTCCCTACAGCAATCCTCCTTTTCCAGGGGGACCTGGGTTACCTGTGGTGCCATGCACACTGTACCTGTGTCCATCTTTCCTTCATGCTGGCAGAGCTTCTGCCAGACAGAGTGAACATTCCAGTACAAATCAGGTGCTGTTTTAAACTCACTTTGTGCTATAAGCCTGGTGGATTGGAGAGTTCAGCCTCCATATCCATAGATACATAAATATGCTCTGTGTGGTCTCCCAAGGGGAAGGCAAAATGTGTTTTTAGTTAAGTTGCATGGGAATTTAATTGAAAGATTTAGGGCAATGCCATAAAAGCGTAAATCATGGCGCTGTGACACAAAGAAGATTTATAAAGCCAAATAAAAATACTTTAGCACCTTCACTTCTATAATTTCTCCGTTATAAGTGGAAACCTGTATTAGTCATTTTGTCTGCTGGTAATTAAAGCAAAAGTAAAGGCTTTTATATTTCACTGATTTTCAGTCCTTTGGAATGAAATAATGGGGAAGAGAAGAGCAAAGGGCAGAGCATTCTCTGGACACATCATGACTCTAAACCTGCAAGAATGCCCAACTTCCTCCCCAGGAATATTTATATTAATTAAGCACATGCTTAACTTAATTCACAGAGGTAGTTCCTCAGAAAGATTGTGAGGTAATTCAGATGAAGCACAAGCTTAGTGTAAGTCCAGAGCTTGTGTGGATGGTGGCCCTGAAATCTGGCCACTCTCCAAGGCCATGGGGCTACCACACGTGTGACAGTCCTGCTCTATGGGAGAAGAAGGTCATTTGTCACACAGCAAAATGCTCAGGGATAATTTGGAGAAGGGAGCTAGGGAAGTGCATTAGAAATATGACCTTCAGCGCAGGTTTAGTGAGGATTCACACATTGTATTTATTGAAGAGTACTGTATATATTAAATGCTGTGGTGTTGATAGGTCTAGATAAGGACACCATAATAGCAGTGGAATTGTAGGGGGTTTTGTGAGATGGTAAGTTAATGATGTAGCTGTTAATTTGAATTTAGCAGACGTTTTAAATATAGGTTTCTCTTACAGAGACAAAAGTTGCAATTTAAAGCTCTTTGGTGGTCTAAAAACAGCTTAATTCTCTAGTAGCATGGTAATAAGTACTAATCCAGCTTATACAGTGATTGTAGTATGTCATGTTTGTGAAAGATTGCCTAACTCTGCTTTCTCTGGGTTTTATGTTAATTTTTTTAAATTAAACATAAAACCTTATAACATCTTTATGCTGAGATAAACTGTTCAATTTAACTTGTGCTCAAGCAGCAGCTGTCAGGAATTATCATGTTTCGAGCGTTCTTGCCATCACCTTGTGTCTCTACCTCCCGGATACACTCCGTGGGATGATAAAGCTCACCTTGTTAGGATTTATTACTTAAATAATAACCTGAGGTAAAATGAAAGTTGATGTCACACGGAATGACAACTGACATATATTTATGTCACACGTTCCATTATAATAAACTTTCCTTTCTTCCCCTTGTAATAGGTGTTAAATGGAAATCAACTCCAGCATATCCTCCAGTGCCCTGCATGAGTCCATTAGCTACGTACGTGGCTGCTCTGTGGGCATGTTCACAGGGACTTGTGCTGTCAGGTGTTATTTAAGCTTATAGAGCCAGAGAAATTGGTTAGTGCTGGTAGTTAGCAGCTTTTATGCCAGTAAAGAAACAAGTGTAAGTGTGTCTCATAGTCGGGATAAATTCTGGAAGTGCTGGGAAGTAACGTAAGTGAATCAAGGAGGATGTTTTCTAATAAATGGGGTTATTTTCTTTTTTTTTTTCCTGATGTAAGCACTGTCATTTCTGGCACTAAATCTGAATTTGCTAGTCTTCACAACAGTTTTCTCTTGACACCAGTTTCTTGTGCTGAGCTGGGCAGCAATAAGTGATCTTCTTGTCAGTTGAGTCTTATCATTTTCTATTTACAGTGGAGAAAATTTGGGTCTACCTCTTCCAAGCTTTCTAAGTTTTCAGCCTTCCTTGCCATACTAGTCAGCCTCCAGCATACTCTAATGATTCTATTGAACTACTTATGTTTGCCTAAACCAGAACTGCTATTGTGGCCATTATAATCTATTTTTTCATATTCTTCTTTTAATTATCCCATTGTTGTTCTGAGCATGTTCAGATATTTCATAGCTACATTGGTTTGTCTAAGTCTAAATTTCTTATCTCATCTCTTGTCATACTCCCCATTGCCCTTTTCTCTCCAGTCATCCTATTAACTTTGGCCCATCCACTGTCTCCACTTCCCACCCTTGCTCTCTGCTGGGAAGATGGCCCAATGTGCCATCTCATTTTTACCCTCTTCCCTCAAATACAGCCAAGTTCATTGATGCTATCTTGCATCAGTTCAGGTTTCTTCCTAACTCATCACAGAAAAGGATTTTCTGAAAAATCAGTAAAGGAAAAGATAAACTGTAATTCAGTCCAGAAAGAGAATCCTAGAATGGTTTGGGTTGGAAGGGACTGCAAAGATCATCTTGTTCCAACCCTATGCAGGGACATGTTCCACTAGACCAGGTTGCTCCAAGTCCCATCCAACCTGACCTTGAACACTTCCAGGGATGGGGCAGCCACAGCTTCTTTGGGCAACTTGTGCCAGTGTCTCATCACCCTCACAGGAAAGAACTTCTTCTTAATATCTAATGTAAATCCATCCTTTCTCAATTTGAAACCATTCCTCCTTGTCCTATCAGTAGTCAAAATTTTGCCAAGCAACATTTAATCTCATTTTTGCAATATTAGGGGTATGTTTCCTCCTGTTTTTATTTTTCTTTGTCACTCTGTGCTCAACTCACCACCAACTCTGAGAGGGGTATTGCATTGCCCCTAGGAAGCTTTCCTGCCTCTGCTTTGAGCCTGACACCCGGGTCATTATGAAGCCCAGAGGTCATTACTCATGGTGACAAATAAGTAATGACTTAAGTAAAACTATTTTTTCCTCCTAGTATGGCTCATAATAAACCTGAGCTCATATCTTAATTGTCATTCTGTTTGACAGGCCCTTTAGAACCATCAACTGTTTGATGAACAAGGCAATAACATTCATCTCTCATTTTTGTAAGCCTTTCAGATCAGCATTGACTCAGGTTGATGAAGATGGATACAGGATTTGTTCTCTAGGAAGTGTTTATTCTGTAGATACAGATTATCTAAGAATGGTGTAAGTTAGCATAGGTGATGATATGATATATGATATGAATACTTGAGGAAGTTCATGAGTTTTGAGGCTGACAGCCAGAATCAGAAGTTTATGATGTTATTGGTGTCAGTTTGACATTAATCTGTCAAGGGATCTGCAGCTCTCTGTAGGTTCAGTATTCAGTTTATTTGGAAGCAGCACTAGCCAGGGGCCAGGAGATGCTCCCATACATTCGGTGAAATGCAGGGAAATCTGCCACTGGTTACAGTAGGGTGACAATTTCATATTACATATTTAAACACATTAATTTTCTGATAGACTAGGCAGTTATACAAGGCTCAGATAACAGCTTGTTAGTGTTGTTTGTGGCTGCTTTATGTAATTGAAGAATATGTGCAGTGTTGTGGACTGTGGAATAGAATCACAGGATCGACCAGGTTGGAAGAGACCTTCGAGATCATCAGGTCCAACCCTACTGTGATTACTAGACCATGGCACTAAGTGCCACATCCAGTGTCATCTTGAAAACCTCCAGGGATGGTGAATCCACCACCTCCCTGGGCAGCACATTCCAATGTCTGATTACTCTCTCTGTAAAAAAAATCTCTTCCTAATATCCAACCTAACCCTGCCCTGGCAGAGCTTGAGTCTGTGCCCTCTTGTCCTGCTGCTGGGTGCCTGGGAGAAGAGACCAACCCCCACCTGACTCCAACCTCCTGTCAGGGAGTTGCAGAGGGTGAGAAGGGCTCCCCTGAGCCTCCTCTTCTCCAGGCTGAACACCCCCAGCTCCCTCAGCCTCTCCTCATGGCACTTGTGCTCCAGTCCCTTCACCAGCCTCGTTGCTCTTCTCTGGACCTGCTCCAGCCCCTCAATGTCCCTCCTGACCTGAGTGGCCCAGAACTGAGCACAGGATTCAAGGTGTGGCCTCACCTGCACCAAGTAATGCTTACAGCATATTTTTGGTACAGCAGGAGTGCAGCAGCAGGACTGGGGTGCAAAGGTAGAAACAGCATTTCATTACAGAGGATACCTAATAAAACTGTGAAAATAAACTAGAAAAAGGGTGGAAAATATAATAAAGCTAGACCATACTAGATAAGTGCACTGCATAAATCAAAAGGGTTTATGTCATGAACATGTTTTTTTTTCTGCTCATATATTGAATTTCAGTAGTCGGTTGCATAAAGAAGTAAAGTGTAATGAAACTGGCAAGCAAAGTATTCCCTAGTCAGCCTTATCTTTGTTCCATTTGTCCTTCAGATACAGCTTTTCTTGCCTTTTTCAATAAAATCCATCCAGCTTTTTTTTTTATTTTTTTATTTTGCATCTCTCTGTAACCGAGCTGGGAAGACCAATGAGATTCGGTGCTTTTCTACTTGGGTTCTTAGCAGCTGCTTTTTAAGAGATCAAAACTTCGAATGCTGCTACATGGTATTAAGGCTTAGCTATTGATGTGTCCCTATAGGGGTTATGTTTTTCTTGGGGAGGGGAGAAGGGGAAGGGGTGACCCCTATGAGCATGCTCACAGACTGTAAACACTGCTCTCCTTGTTTTCCAGGATCCTCTTTGCAAGCTCAGTGCTTAACCTGGCTGAACTCGCTGCCCTCCGCCCTGACCTTGGCAAATTGAAAAAGGTCCTCTACTTCCATGAGAACCAATTGGTATATCCTGTCCAGAAATGCCAGGAAAGGGATTTTCAGTATGGATACAACCAGATTCTTTCATGGTAGGTGTTGCTCACACCACTCCATGTTGTTTAAGGTGTCCTTCTTTCTACAGGTCATAACCCTGAGAAGTCTTCCTCTTTATATTTTTTTGGGTATAATTATTTCTTTAATTTTCATTTTGTATTAATTATTTTGAGTATTGATTACTTGGTATTAAATATTTTGCAAGAGCATGCAGTGACAGGACAAGGGAGGATAGATTCAAATTGAAATAGAGTAGGTTTCAATTAGATATTGAGAAAAAATTCTTCCCTGTGAGGGTGATGAGGCACTGGCACAGGTTGTCCAGAGAAGCTGTGGCTGCTCCATCCCTGGGAGTGTTCCAGGCCAGGTTGGATGGGGCTTGGAGCACCCTGGTCTAGTGGAAGGAGTCCCTGCCCATGGCAGGGGGTTGGAACTAGATGATCTTTAAGGTCCCTTCCAACCCAAACCATTCTGTGAGTCTATAAACAATGACCCTGTAGCAAACAGGTACCAGTAGAATCTTGAGGAGAGGTTGAGAAAGATGCTGTGACAGAAACAATCTGCTCTAAAGCCTCATCTCAATTTACTCTAGAAAGTCCATTAATGCTGCCACACTGTACCTGTTGGTGCTGGGGATTTTGACCTGTGTCTTGGCTGTAAGCATTGCTTTGTTTCACAGATGCTTCACAAAGCTGCAGCTACTCAGCTCTTGCTTGGCCATAGCTTTTACAGCATCGAGCTGAAATTATGGAGAGGGTTTTAGGGAAATAAACAGAAATTAAAATGTACTGCAGCACTTTTCATGTGTAGAGAGGGCAGTAAACATACCAGATAAATCCTTATATTTCTTTCATCTAGTATTCAGAAATTGTGCAGTGCTAAAATACCCAGACATTTTAAAGGCTGTGGTCCTTTATTGTTGCTAAAAACAAATGTATTTCTCGAATCTGAGTTAATGAAAGAAGTTAATAACAGCACCACTGAAAAGCTTTGTGGTTAGGCACTGTGCAGACCTAAGTGAAACAGCAAAACTCACTTGTTTTGAACTGCAATAAATTCATTTTCCCCATTCTTTCTCACCTCTCTGTTAGTAGGTGAATTATTAAGAATGGAGGTCCAGCATTTTAAAGGGCAAGTTGAGCTTTTGCATCTTTATAATCTAAGCCAGCTGATGTTGAGATTTGTCAAATAATGATCTGTGTATGCTCTGGGCATTCTGCAGCTGCTTCTGCCACAGCATTTGCAACATGTTTCACTTACTGAGCTGTGAAGATGGGAAGTAGAGTCAAAGATCTTTTGAAAACAGTAGCAGCCATTTTCAATGTTCTAACAAAAGGATGTGAGTTTTGGCACTGGGCATGGATTGAGCAATATTGGTTTTGTGTATATATCTTTTGTTTTATTATGGCAGTTATTTTTCACACATCTGTTGTAAACTGACAAATAGTTATCTTCAAAATATGCATTATTAAGACAAGAAAAGTATCTTCTATTGTGAAAGAGAATAAAAAAAGGTGACTTCTACAGATGATCGAATCACAGAATAGTTTGGGTTGGAAGGGACCTTCAAGACCATCTATTTTCAACCCTCTGGCAAGGGTAAAGATCTTTCACTAGACCAGATTGCTCAAAGCCCCATCCAACCTGACCTTAAACAGTTCCAAGAATGGGGCAATAGATGCACCATTCTGTCTCCTTCAGCATCCAGTATGTTCTCCATGAAATTATCAAATCCTCATCTCCCACTTCTGTTGCTGCAGAAACCCCAGTTTAACAGCAGATAGAAGCCATCTCCTCTGTATTGTTCATTACACTCCAATTGTCATCTGCAAAGAGATACCACCTTCCCCTCTTCCAAATCTGTTAACAATGAGGAAAATATACCTTTCCAGTTTTACACAGAGCTTTTGGAGACTATTAGAATTTCAGCACTTTGAACTTCAGGTTGGTGCCTTGGATCATTAAGAAAGAGAACTAATTTTTCTTTTGTCACTGATGTTTCTATAGAGCTAATGTAATAAAATCACATCTCTTTAGGGTGGCTGAGATTCCTTTTAGTTGCTCAGGCAGTGGTGGTGATGGCATCTTTCTTATTTGCCAGTGATATGCAGAGACTACAAGAAAAAATTTGGGCAAATAAGACTTCGTGCACAAGAGAAGCTGAGATGATGGTGTTGGAGCCTTTGCTATGTGTCAGAGAGCAGCACAGAAATGTATCAGGCTCCTGCACTGCCTCATGTAATCTGTATATCAGTGCAGAGAAGATGACTTTTGTATAAAACTGAGGCTACCAATGGGTTAAAAACCATAGGTGGGGAAGAGGGTGGGATGGCTGAAAGCATTTCAGCTCCCACAGCCTGCTTGAAAAGGATTATTTCTCT